CTTTGTCATTAATTGTTCTTAATTTTTAATTATTTTTCTTCCGTCATTAATTCCTAATTTAAGTATCTTTTTGGTGAGATTTCTACCGAATGACCTGATAAGTCTACCTAATGAACCTAACTACATTTCAAGTTGCCGCATTTTTCTCCCCGTTCCTCATCCCTTCGAACCTGAATCCAGCTTGTATATGATCTTGTGCATTTGTTTGTGTTTATCAACCAATTGACATTTTGTCTCATCTTGCAATTGGTCTCCTCTTTGCTTTCGCCTCTTCCCGTCCATCCCCCATCAGTGTCAGTACTTCAATTTGCGACGCACAATGTCAGCACTTCAATTTGCGACGCGTGGAGGAGGTTATCAGAGCCCTAGACCCAGGGAGCTCACCAAAGCTGGGCCCTGGGATTATTCTTGGGGAGACAGACGATCGAGCGGCACTTGTCTACTCCTCATCCCTTCGACCCGGATTCAACCAGTGTATGATTTTGTGTGCCCTTGTATCGATCAGCAATTAGACAGTGTGTCTCATCGCAATTTTGGTCTCTTCTTGTCTTCGCCTCTTCCCGTCCATCCTCCATCAGTGCTAGCACTTCAATTTGCGACGCATAGTGTCCGCACTTCAATTTGCGACGCATAGTGTCAGAACTTCAATTTGCGACGCATAGTGTCAGCACTTCAATTTGCGACGCGTATCTGCCTGCACTTGAAGAGCGACGCCACTCTACCATTTAAGCTACGCCATCTCACAGAAAAAAAAAGAAAAAAAAAAAAATCAGAGCGCCTTGAAACTTTCTTTCGAATTTTTCAGGATTACGAAGAACACACTCACAAAATCGCGTAGGATTGTTGCTCAATTTCTGTTAAAAACAAACGATAAGATGGACAATTAGGCAATGTTTCAGTTACGCAAATTCTGGCTAAATTCATTTAGTTTTCAGCCCCGAGTCTAAATAAAAAAAAGAAAAAAAAAAGTAATAAGAAGCGAAGGCATTTAATGGAGCAAAACGGATCTTTGTGTCATAATTATGTGCGTTTTCAAAGGAGGACACGATATTGATGTTTCGTAGGTTGAGATTCGCGCAAAACTCCGCGCAGCAATGCGGACGAGTGAATGGAGTTCAACTTAAAACCCTGAATGAGACAGGTCACAAACTACAAGCTTGTAAGGCTTCGTAATTCGAGCTCCTAAATGACAACGATTCAAGGACGTTTCGTTAACGATGACAAGATTCAGATAGAGGTGGCTTTTAGGGGTTTTTTCGTCTTGAAATGATAAAGAGCGTTGATTCCTTCCCTTTTGATTTTTTTACACAATAATCACTAAATTTTCGAAAATGGGAGATTTCCTTTGATAGGTATCATATTTATTAGGCACTGAGAAAATTTAAGAGGAATCCCTGTCTCCTCGGATATAAATCATGTTAAAATTAGAAAAGATTTCTCCCGATACTTTGAATTCATAAAAACTTGAATCAAAGCAAACATTGAAAAGAAGTCTTCAAAACAAAGTAAATTTTAGACGAGTAGTCATACCGGGTGACCCACAGAATGCAGCGTTCGACTTAACTGACCGTCGAGGTTTTTTGTTAGTTTCTATATTGTTACTTTACAAATAATTCACAATTGAGTTAAGATGTTTTGCAAAATCAGAATCAACCTAACTGCGTTCCATGTTCTTTCGTGTTTTATTTTATGAACATAGAACTAAACAACATATCGTTCGGGACTTTCTGTGAACTTTCCCAAGTAAATTCTAAGGAATATAATCCGAAAATTCCAAGTCAGAATGTTGCTCGAATTCCTGTTAAGAAAGTATAACTTAAAAGGAAATTTGGCAACATCAGACGGAGTTACGATGATTAATCCGTCCAATATGTAATCCAATCAAATGTGAGCTGGACTTTTGTAATGACCATGATCAGTCAAGCGGGTCAGCTTCATTTTTCAAATTAATCAATTTTTAATCAATTAATAATTAATCAATTTCTCCGGCACTTGCGTCGTTCGGTATGAAAATTTGAAGAGATAAATGTTTTACATTCATGAGAGCATCTCGATGCGTAAAAAAGGAGTTTGGTAGTATCGACTTGTAGACGTTATAAAAGCAGAAAAACCAGACGCGGATCCAGCAATTTGGCAACACCGGATTTCCTCTATTCAAACCTATGCGAAATAATCGATTCTTATCGGAGCACCCGGCCCCTATAAGAATCGATACATTTCCATAGGTTTAAATAGGTTCCATAGGCTTAAAGAGGTTCCATAGGTTTAGGTCGGCCGTGTAGTTGTTGTAGCGCTTCCTCTATGATCGGGAGGTCCCAGGTTCGATTCCTGGCCAGGCGACCCGAGTTTGATGGTCTCAAACAATGCACTGGAAAAAAAACACATTGGATCTAGAGTCCAGACTCTTAAAAACATCGACAAGAAAAAATACTCTTGATTCAATCAGATTTAAGCTTGGATCAAGAAACAAGCCTCTTAATTTGAGCGGATTTCCTTTTGATTTTAGCTTAAATCTGATTGAATCTAGAGTCCTTTTTCTTGTCAATGTTTTCAAGAGTCTGGACTCTAGATCCAATGTGTTTTTTTTTACCAATGTGGCTTGTAGGGACGGAGGGGGGATGGGACTAAAAGCACAGGATTAGCCCTTGTTGGCTTTCTGAAGTAGTAAAAAAAAAAAAAAAAAAAAAAAAAAAAAAAACAATGTTGCCAATTTGCTGGATCCGCCAATGAGAAAAACTATGATGATGGAGGAGAGTAATGGAAATGCCTTTCTTAATAAAGCAGAAAAAGAGTGGCCAAAAACAAGAGTTCGCACGCATTAATGGAGTAATTCATCAAGGCACTTCACTCAATGCGATGAGGGTAACTACCTCGATTAGGGTGCTAATTTTAACTTAAAAGAATTAGTTCAAAAAGTGATTTATATGTTTACTACAGGGTGATGCATCTTTATGACTAAATGAGTGCACTAATTTAATGCAAGCTCACTTTTTAATGTCGTTTGCCGGCTAACGATACAATTTTTCAGCAGACGAATTCGGGACTAAGTGAAGCAAGAGAGGTGGTACATATTGGCAGGTCGCTCAAGACTAGCACGACATGTTTTGACACCGAGCTTCACTGAAGCACGAGAGGGTCATTTCGCTTTCGTGAGCCATTCAGGCAGGGGCGCAAAAATCGCCTTCGAGGAGGGATGTATGCAATCTCACGACAGTCGTTTCGAGCCACTCAAATCTGGTCGGAAAAGTGCCAACACGTACGAACTTCTTTTGCCAGACGTTGCCCTTAAATTTGATATCATCAATTGAAAATGATTTCTACCGTAATTATTACATGACGAAAAATCAAATACAACCCGGCATAACGTACGAAAATGTCATCCATTTTGAACCATTTTTCATAACTACAGAAAAATGATTTTGCATCTTTTTCATCCTGGAATATATGCTGTGCTTACAGAATACTCTAACCCTGGTCACATTTTTCAGAAACTAAGTTTTCCTTTAAAATTCCTGTAGAATTTTTACTTAGTGTGTTAGAACCGGAGACAAATAAAAGAGATATCGATCATATATTTTCAGATTAACTTGCTAACTTCACAAAAAATAGATACAAAAGTTAGGCGCATCATCCCCCAAAAATATCTCACAACATTTAGAAAAATGCACCCCAAAAAAGCATTGTTACTTTTAAGGAATTTTACATTTGTCAAACGTCGAACGATGTTAGTGGACGTCAATGAGTAACATTTATGCTATTTAATCAATGAAAAAATGGATGCTCTAAATAATTATTCGCTCACCTTCAAAGATGTTACGCAGTTTGCAAAAAATAAAAACTTCCACAAAAAATGCTAAATTTGTGAATGAAAAATTGAAAAGGAAAAATATTTGTACTTCGTAAGTATGCTTATGCGCCTCTGAAACAAGATAGTCAAATCTTGTTGCAGATAGACAAAAAGTCCCAGCTAGACGAAATCAAAGCTGGCAAGAAAATGTTTTGCAAAGGCAACGAAAAAGAAAAAGAGCTAAAAATTTAAATGTGAAGGAAGTCATCGTCGAATCTGAACGAACGGAAAAAATCGTAAAAATTGCAATTCTCTTTTTTCAGTGATAAGTAATACGAGGATTTCCGACTGAGGCGCTGACACACAAGCAACAAAATAAGACTGGCGAAAGCAAATTGGTGAGAGGTGAGAGGGCTTTTGAGGCTGCTTAAAGGGACGATCCTCAAAGAGAACTCAAGATCTTTTGTAATTCCTGACCTCTGAGAAGTTGGATACTAATGATTGAAACTAAGTACGTCAAGGAGGGCACGTTTCAAAATCAAGGAGCTGAGATTGATCAATAGTGGGTATTTTTAGTGGTCAGTGAATTACATTTACTCATAATTGGACGGATTTAACCGCGGTGAGCCTGCCTGCAATGGACATTACCTAATTTCTTATCATATTTCACGTTTGAACTGAAACATTCAGCAACGTTACACCTTGAAACTTTCTCTGAATTTCTCCAAAAGTATAAATAATATACTGAAGACAATTTAAAGGCAGAATGTTGTTTAATTATCTTGAAAAAAATGAAACATGCGAGGAAATTAGGCATCGTCCGATGCAGTTCGGCTACTTCTGGCTGGAGGCCAACTCATCGGCTCCTAGACGAAGGAGCGCATCTCCATTCCAACGTTGCAAAATCTACGTACGCAACTATTTAGTCACGCGACAATGACCGCGCTATTCATGTCCAAAATCAAACTGATTTTTGACGATATTTAAGGGGATCAAAAAATCTACGAAATTTTCAATGTAAGATGTCCAATACTGCCATGCCAAGGAAGAACGCCGTATGAAGATTCAAGAGTAGCCAAATTTCCTCAGATAAAATGTTAATTTTTGAGGAAGTTATGAATATTTATCCTTGAAATTTTCAGGAGCTTCCGAACAAAATACGAGCAAAATTCTCCGAAAAATTGAAAGAAAAATATTCATAAGTTTACCAGGGCATTATTGCTTTATCACAGAAAATTCGGCAACGCCTGAAGATTCATACGGCGTTCTTCGTTAGCGCAGCAGAAAAGTATCCGGATACAGAAAATATATGAAATTAAATTTGGCAACATTGAAATAAAGTTACGTTCCCTCGGCCAGGAATCGCATGTTGTTCGCACCGATGTGCTTTCGCTCGCCCAAACAAAAAATCGAAGTCCCTGAAACGATAACTAAAATTCCAACATCCAACAACAATACAACAACAAGGACTACGGGTAGTCGATCTAGATACACTTTATACATACTTTACAGCGGCGAGGCTCAGACGTTGGTGCCGTGCTCGTCCCGCTCTCGATCCCGGTAGGTCTCCTCGCTGATGGCCGACGGCGGCCGCCTCATGACCGGCGGGAGGACCGGAACACCACGCTGCCACACCCGCAGAGTCTTGGCGTCGGGTAGCGGCGGGACCGGCGGGTTCGTCGTCGGCGGGATGATCGGGAGCCCGTAGTCGGGCGGGTAGTCGGCCGCCAGGGTGTTGTGGTAGCTGAAGTCGTCCTCGGAGAGGCCGCTCACGCTCAGCACGTCGCTGATGATCGGCGTCCGGTCGTCGAACCGCCGCCCGGTGTTCTTCAGGTACTCGTTCTGGGAGTTCTCCCAGAAGCCCGGGGGGTACAGGTACTCGGACGTCTGGGACTGCGACAGACTCACCGGTCGCGGGGGTGGTTTGTTCAAGGGCTTGGGGTCGTACTGGTCGTAGTAAGCCGGGTGGGTGGCTGGTGTATACGGCGGGGCTTTCACGTAGCTGATGGTGTCATGCGACATCTTCTCTTCGTCTGTCTCGTCGTCGTCCTCTTTCGACTCCTTGTCTTTCTCACCTTTATCGTCCTTTTTGATCTTGATCTCGTTGATGATTTCAGTCGCCTTCGGGAGGCGTTTGATCTTACTCATGAGGAAGGCGATGATACCCAGGATGAGGACGATCATGATGATGAGAACGAGGCTGAGGGTGTTGATGCGCCCGTCACCCAGGGCGGAGGCGCCAATGAGTCGCTTGGAGACGAAGAGTGTGAAGTTGGCCTCGGTGTTGCCAGCTCGGTTCTCGACGACGCAGAAATACTGCCCGGCGTCGGACTCCTCGATGTTCCGGATGATGAGGGAGGAGATCTTGTCCGTGAAACCGTTCTCGAGGATGACGAACTTCTGGTTGAGGTTGTAGATGTAGGAGTCGTTGAAGAGGATCTTGCCGTCCTTGTACCAGGTGATGTGGCTCTCGGGGGTGGAGTGGACGCGGCAGAAAATGGTGGCGTTGCCCCGCTCGACGGCCTCGACGTAGCGGTTGTCGTACTTGACCTCCGGGCGGCAGGCGAAATCGTCGATGTGAAGCTCGGTGAAGGCCTTGTTCTGGACGCGGTCTGGTCCATCGCACATTGGCGGAACAGAGTATGGTACGTTCCTCTCGTTGAGCCAGACTTTCATCCAGCGGAGGGAGCAGTCGCAGAACCACGGGTTGTTATGTAGCTCGATCCGACGGAGCTTGTTCAGGTCCCCGATGGTGTCCGGGCCGAGGTACGTCAGCTGGTTGTCGTTCATCTTGAGCGTGTCCAGGGCGACGATCTCCTGGAAGGACTTGGGCGAGACGACTTTGATCTGGCAGTTGGACAGGTCCAGCTTCAGGAGGTTCGGCACCAGGTGGAAGGCGAAGGAGTCGATCTTCTGGATGGGGTTCTTGGCGAGGGAGAGCTCGCGGAGGTAGGGCGTGTCCTGGAACGTCGAGGACGGCACGTAGGTCAGCAGGTTGTTGGTCAGGTCCAACTCGACCAGGTTCGTGAGGCCGCGGAGAGAGTGGGCGTCGACCTGGCCGAGCCGGCAACTCCGCAGGAAGAGCTTCTGCAAGTTGAGTAAGTTCGTCCGCATGAACGTGTCGCGGGGGAGGATTTGGAGGTTGTTCCCGGACATGTCTAAGACTTGCGTCTCACTCTCGATACCTTCGGGGATGGTGATCAACCCCCTGTCGATACACTCGACTGTTCTTTTCCCGCTCTTCCATTTGCAGGAACACACGGACGGGCAGTAGCCGGGACTGGCCCTGATTTCGTGCACGACCAAAAGGACGGCGAGGGTTACGTAAGCTAAGTGCATCGTGCAGGTCGCCGTATCCTAAATCCGTGACATGGGATGTCCCGCGCTGCGATAATCCAAGAAAGTCACTCCGAAGAGGGAAAAAACACTCCACGGACACGGAACCTTTTACCGCGCACAAAAAATATGACACGACGGGGGAAACACTACATCCCGCGAATGGGGTTTTACGAGCTCGCGAGTGAACTTTTCGCCGAAAACCCGCGTTGATTTCGAGGGCGCACAGTTAATAAAATTTATCGCTTGACCCGCGCAGGAGAAAACAAACCGCGGTCGTAAACTTTCTTCACTCCGACGAGGGCATGACTCTCGGTCGTGCGTTTCGAAAAAAAATCGGCGACGAAAAAAAAAACGAGAACTTTCGATACGGAACTTTAACTGAGCGACGTATAAAATTCAAGCACCACACACAATCAACCGCGACACAATATTTGAAGATCAGAGTAAATATTTCCACAAATCCAGCGCACTCATAGGTAGCGTGACGCAGAAACCGGATCGAGAAACGCACATGAATCACTAGAGGTATTCCACACACGGAGAGAACGCGGGATTTTTTTTTTTTTTTTTTTTTTTTTTTCCAACTCGTTCACGAAAAGCGAATCGATTATATTGGTTTGAAGTTCGAAAATCGGTTTAGAGCGATACGGCGGGCGTCGTTCCACGAGCTCAGACCTGAACGGACTGACTCGACGGTGGGCACGGCTGGCGTACTCGACTCGAGTCCCGCGGTGAGGCTTCTCGCCACGTCGCGCGATCGGGCGTTTTACCGGCGTTTACCTTCACGCTAATTCAAAACAACATATACGTATAGGGAATCAACATTGGGTTACGCGGTTTGGCCGGCGGTGGGTGGGGGCTCGGCGAAAGCGGGCAAACATGTTTCGGTTGGCCCTCAACCGTGACCGGAGCGAGAGAGAGGGCCGCGCCAGAGTGAGACGGGGCGAGAGAGGAACCGTTCTTTGTGAATGAGGCACCTTTTCTTGTAACACTGGTAGCGAGACGGCCATCTTCTTTCGGTGTTTCCTACGTTGGACATTACACCCATCAGTCTTTCGCTCCTCTCGCACTGCCCCCCCCCCTCAACCCTGGGCACCGCGCCCTCCCCCGCTTCGGCGTCCGGCCGCGGTTGCCAAGTCGTGTGTCACGAACTTGAACTCTGAGTCGGTCGCGGGAACCGGGATAAGGCCGCTCGTGTTGGGGATTTACGCAATACGCTAGGATCGTAGCCGCGGTTACTCATATCACTGAAAAAAAATATCGGTGTATTTACTAAGAAAAGGGTAAAATTACCAAGAATTCAGGGTTCTGTTGGATCCCAGTTTTTTCTTGGTAAAATTACCATTTATGGAATTGGTACCTTTCCGAGAAATCTCGGTAAAATTATTGAACTTTCTCGGTAATTTTACCGGACCTTGGTAAAAACGCCAATATTTTTTTATCGACTGTGGTAGAATTACCGAGATAAAATGGCAAAGTTACCGGGAATTGATTACCGATAAAAGTGGTATTCTTACCTGAAAAAAACAGTAAAAATACCGGTTTTTAGGTTAGCTTACCAGTCTGTCTTCGTAGAATTATCAATAATTGGTAAAAAAAGTGAGATGGTAAAGGTACCAACGGACCTTGGTAAAATCGCCGAGAATTTTTTTTCAGTGTAAGGATCGTATACCTTTGAAAATTTTGAAGACGAATAAATCGATAACTAAAATGCGAAACCTCGAATCTGCTTGCGCTGTTTCGAAATCTCAGCGCCGATTCCATTTTTTCTCTTAGAAGTAATTCAATTGTATACTTTGAAATTTTTACAAAATATTCTACTGAAAGGCCATAAAGCATTTTTCGGCATTTTTGACGCTCCTGCCCCTCTCGCAACGGTTTTGGACGTAAGGCTCTATCCTTTAACACGTAAAAACAAAATGGTGTAACGCTTTCTTTGAGCCGCCCCTCCCTTACAGTGCTATTTAATTTACGAGCGGCCCTTCATAGAGAGGAAAAGTAGAGGAAAAGTAAAGGAAAAGTAGAGGAAGTTTACAAGTTTTTCAAAGAAAAGTAAAGAATGATCGAAAGTTTGCGACGTCCAAATTGAAGATACGTAGTTTCGCACTTTCGGCACTTGAAAACGGGAGCGCAGCTTCATCCACATCCACATGCAAATTCAAAATTTTCAGTCGAGCGATTTTTTTTTCAAGTGCAATTAAACGAAACTTGGTGTAATTTTTTCATACAGTGCAGTAATTTGACCGTCAGAAAATTAAAAATGTCGCGATAAAAATCAGTTTGAGTGAGTCGCATCGGCACAGCAGGTAACGTTGGAATTGAGGTGAGATGCAAGAAAAACAGTTTAAGTGCCTTTAGTTAATATAGCATGCAACGTGCACTTAATCCCAACGCCTGGAAGCAACTATTCAAGCTCCGCAGATGTCTGTGTTGCATACGCAAGAATATGGAGGCGTTTTGATCCTCCCGGCACTCATCACTCTAGCTAAACATCCGTAGCGCGGCGCAGCGGTAGCTGGTAGAACAGAGAGGATCAAAAATGACTGAATCCCTTCAATGCTTCGTTTACACTACAAATGCATTCTCTAAGAAATTAATTGAGCTTTTTTCCCATCCAAAAATGTCTTTAGGCAAACTGTATTTTATAGCTCATCACTGCAATGAGTTCCTTTTTACGTGAACGACTACACATTTGGGATTGGTATTTTTTTCTGGGGGGTACAGAGAAGTGGCTACCAAGTTCCTTCTACGTATGAAAAATGCATTCTCCACCCGTGGCTGAGTGTGAAATTCGCGGGTATTTTGCGGCAAATGATACACGCATGCATTCACCATGTTTTCTTCCAAAAAATTCGACGTGCATTCTGATACTATCTGAAGAAAAGTTCGTTGTTACGACACGAGTTTGCGAAATCGGTGATGAATGTTTGCAGATCTCTGAGGCATGGCATAGCATGGAGGCCTCAGCTGCATTAAACCATTTTAGAATGTCACTCATTAGCACACGGAAAGTTCAGATGCTTCTTATAATCGCGCTCACGTCTACATCAGTGGCGTGGCGTGATTTGCGATATATCGATTGTTATGCCATATAAACCTATGGAAAAGGATCGATGAACAGGGTGTTCGCAGCGAACACCCTAATAATCGATTCTCTACCATAGGTTTAAATGGCATAACAATCGATACATCGCAATTCACGCCACGCCACTGACGTCTAAATTCTTTTCTTAAGAGTGTAACAGAAATGAATGAACTTATTTTATTATTCCTAGCATGAATGGAGGCATAGATCAAAGTGCTGGGTGATGGAGTATTCGACGAGCTCCTTTTTTATTGCTGAAAATCGATTCAGTATTAAGTTTCTCTTTAATCGCTCTGCAACAGTTCGTGTGTTAGTCAGCCCGCTCCTTTTCTGATGGTATTACATTTTTTTTTGTCAGAGATAGAAGTAGGGTTTACAGAATCCTGAGCAAAAACTTGTAAAGGATTCAGAAATTCACTGTATAATCACAATGTGACTTTAATGACAGTGTTTGAATGCAACTATTCCTGCTCAAAATATGCCCAAGTTGAATTCATAAGTAATTGAAGGCGCTCAGGTGTTTATCACTTACGAACTCTTAAAAGTGCCCACCTTTTGCTTCACTGAGTATAAATCCGTGAAAACGTGGTCAGGGCTTAGAAGGCTGCCTTTAGCGTTCTCACATCATACGAGCAGCACACGATTTTGTAGGAGTTAGAAAACTCCCAATTTTCATTCTGCATCGTAAACTAAAAGTGACCAGACACGAAACTTCTGTCGCAGATTTCATCTTGAATTTTTTTTCCTTTTAATTTTTAATAAAACCCAATAAGTAATTTTCGTTGCAATGCATAGAGGCTCCGCCTTAGTGTCAAGAAATGGGATTACAATCTACTGTAAAATTCAATTGCGTGGCGTGTTTTGCGATCTATCGATTATTCCCAATTTGAAGCTGTGGTAAATAATCGATTATTAAGGTGTTTGCATCGGACACCCTGTTTATCGATACTTTTCCATAGGTTAAAGAGGCAGATCAATCAATATATCGCACAGCACGTCACGCCACCGGTGAAATCGAATTAATTTTTCATGCCAGAAAAGTTGGGGAATTTTAGGCTAGATTTCTAATTTTGACAGAAGATGAGGCCCTTCTTCAATTTTTTTTTAAATACGATTATTTGGGACGGGGGGTGTATTTGATACAAAGTTAACAACATGGGTAATACGTACAGAATTATATTTATTTCAGCGGCGATGAAATGTATTTATTTCTAAGCATTCTGTCGAAAAGGACGACTAGAGCTAAATCCGTGGGCAGTAACCATTATAGAATAAGGATGAATAATGAACGGCTTCTGTTCAGCTCCTTTAATTCCTTCTCAGTTTCAGAGACAGAAAATCGTGAGAGTGGCAACGCAGCGATGTTCCAATACTTTTTCTTTTTTATGTCCATGAGCCTCCCACAAGGCATAGACCTAAGTGATTCCAATCCGTAATTCCTTCCCCCTCCCCCCGCAGCCGATATCTTACATTTGACACTTTATTTATCCATCCATGTTCTTTATTTTTTCCTAGCCGCGCCTCGTCCTGCCCGAACTTCACGTTGCCATATTTCGAAATCCAAAATACCGAATTGCAAAAAACCGATCAATTTTTGAATGGAAACCGGATAAGACTATTTTTAACTCTTCCAGAAAATCGATCTCAGGGATAAGGCTCGAAATTTCCCAGTAATTTACGCTGATTTTCCACCTGCAGAAAATTTCTCGCGATCTGGCAACACGGCGCGAGGCTACGGCTCCTCACACCGCGCTCGTTTTTCTTAATCAAATGCATCTTTAATTCATCTAATTTAATTCCGCTTTTTATTTTATTGCTTTTTTCGTTGTTAATTTCTCAACTCTCGGGCTTCAACACGGATGTATCCCCTATCCTCTCGCGGTGGTGGGAAAAGATCCTGTAAGGGGGAGGGGGAGGGGGAGGGGGAGAGGGAGGGAGAGGGGATGGGATGGGATGGGACGCACCGTCGTCGGCTGCCCACTCCTTTTCCCGAAGTTCTTAGGGATAATTCATTAGTACAAACAGATAATTTGGAGCCAGGTCTTGATTCCTTCGTGATGAGCGTCGTCCAACGAAATCTTGGCGGGAGGGAGGGGGTATAGTGGTAGTGGTAGCGGGGAAGAGGGGGTGCGGTCCTACCCTAATGTACATGACTCAACCGAATTAATCTCCAGTCTCGATCCGAAAGCATTGTTTTAAGAGTCAGGTGCATCGGACATGCTTCCCGAATCCCGATGACGTCGGATATTTTTGTGAAGGCCACTAAATATTAAGATAAATATATTGAAGAAGAAAATTGTAAAATCTGATAGGAGTCCCCTCCCCCCGTCCTTGGAAATTCAGACGAAATTTCTAAATGTTCCGATGGGGAAAATACCGGACAGAAAATTTAATTTTTTGTTCCAGTTTAACGAGGGTGTGTCAAATCGTGAGACTAGGTCATGTGTTTTTAAATTTGAAGTTTCAAAACAAGTTTTTTTCGAGCAGATTTGAGGGGCTTGGAGGGCAAAGCGCATGATTGCAGCTTTTGAAAAAAAATGAGATATTTATGATTTTAAGTAAAACTTGTCTCAATGCATTTTTTGTGAAAATTCGCTCCTTAATTCCAATTTTTAAGCATCAAAAAGTCAGTTTGAACTTTCTCTCCGCCATAGGGATGCATTTGTGCGCCTTGTCCTCTAAGCCCCTCATTTGTACTTTTGCAAGGGAAAATGATCACACGTCAGTTGAGGCGACGCCAGGAATGGNNNGGGGGGGGGGGGGGGGGGGAGGTCTGGAAAATTGGATTAAATTTTGTAATAAGGAACCGCTGTCTCCGGCTCTTCCATAATGCAATCTTTCTGCACAGGGAAACCAATGGCATATGTTGTTTCTAAGATGAGGCAGAAATAGTGATTCCTCATTGCAAAATGTGGTCCAGTTGACACGAAAAGGGGTAATTTTTCGCGATTTTCTGTGCTCCCCCCCCCCCCATGAAAAAAATGTTTTTTCCTAGTTACACCACTGAATGTTTGTATGTGGTGGAAAACGGCAATGATCAAGCTGATAAAGTCAGGTCTTCCAATCAAAATAGAAACTTAAAGTAGACGAGGTGAATGCACTACCGACGGATATCAGGAAGCCGAATAAATCTGACAAGTGCATCAGGCTATGAAATGGCTAACGAACTTTGTTGCCTGTTTGTGATCGTTAATTGGACGTATTACAATCAAACAGAACTATGTGCATTAAGACATGAGCCCTGAGACCCATAAGAATACATTCAAAACAGGGCTCTCGTTATAATGCACATAGCTCCGTTCGGCAGAAAAACGTCCAATTGACGGTGCATGCTCCAAAGTCTGTGGACCGGATAATTTTGATAAGCAATCGGGAATAGATATCGCAGCTTGTCACCTTTTTGATGTCTATTCTGAGGCTGGTATATCGCGTATTTGCGTACACGTTTGCTGTATTCGGTAGTCAAACAGTCAATCTCGAGGTTCTATTTAGAGAATGTGATCGGACAAAAGTTTTTATCCATATTTTCTGTAAAATGTGAAAAAAGGAATATCTACCGCATTAGCCGTTTGGTTTTATACAAACTTCTTCAAATGTTTCGTTATTTTTCCCAATGGCACTTACTTTTAATGAATCTCTAATATGGAGCTTAAGAACCCATATTCAAATTTGATGGTCTCATCCATAGTTTTTCTGATGAAATTAATGTTTTGAAGTGACAAGGAAATCTCAAGAACTCTTTTCCTCAGAACGGTAAATCATCATCATGGCGACAAAAAATCACTGTCCAGGTAATGAGATTTCACTGAGGGCTTATAAGTATTTCGACTCTCTTTCGACAAGGACAACTTGCCTAGCAACAGTGACTTATTTTCAGCGATTTACAAGCTTATCGACTTGTATACGAAAACTGCGGCCCGATTATTGAAATTGATAGACAAAGCTATAGACACTCAGGCGTAGGTAGTATGAAGCTATCCTATAGGTTGAAATGGTTGGCTCTTATAGACTGGGGGGGAGAATGATGGACTAAATATCGGGTCCCTCATGGGTTGCAGTTACTTAGACTATTATACCTACCTCCTTTGTCCATTGCAACCACCAAGAGGATCTCTCCATATCTCTTTTGTCTTCTTTGTCTATAGCTGTGTCTATAAATTTCAATAATCGGTCCGCTAGGCATTTAGATTTCCGATGGGCACAATTTTAATATCCCTTACTTTATTTCAGAATTATATACAAAAATTGGCATCTCGCGCGCTTTTAAGTCCAAGCCGATTCGAATTTCTAGTCGGAATAACCAGTTCTCTGGCAGCGTCAAATTGAATGCTGCCGTGCTAGGGAAAAACGCCGTATGAGCATTCAGGCTTTGCCATACCTGCTTCATTAAAAAAAATAAACTGAGACAATTTCGAATATTTTTCTTCCAATTCTTCAGATCATTTTGTTCACAATTGAATCTAAAATATCTGAAAATTTCAAGGAATAATATGCAAAGCTCTTCAAGAATACATGCTTCATTCGAGGAAATTTGGCAACTCTCGGAGGTTCATACAGCGTTCTTCCTTACCGCGGCAGAATGGCCATCGGAATATTTTCCCGAAATTCAAAAATGAATTTATGATGTAGAACTGATCGTGCCTCAGCTCTAGCCGGAAGCTTATTTTTTATCCGACAATTCACGCTTTGGTGGACCGGCGGGGATTAACCGAACATTTTATTGGTATAAAAAAATGACAAATATCGGAGGGGACAAAAATAAATAAAGAGTAAAAGGGAGCTACGGGGAGAGTTAAATCCCCTTCTCGCTCCGTGTCAACACATCCGTCCACGCATGCGTGATGATCGTATGCTCCGAGGCCCATTCATGAGTTCCTCCTCTTCTACTCACCTGGCTTGCTTTTTCTCTTTTTTTTTTTACAACCGCGCTCATTCACAAAATCGAGGCCGACGTGTATTACCGCACGTCGCTAAGTAGACCAGATGGATTTTTGAGGGATAAAATCTACAGAACCAAGAAAAATATCTGCCAGGAAATATAGATGTTCCCGCATTAAACCACTGTTTTCTATGTTGAAAATAGGATTTTCTGTAGTGTTATCATTGGGAAAACAAAGTTTCTTGAATCCAGAGTCAAGACTCCTCGAGGATTTTTGATGGATAAAATCTACAAAAACAAGAAAAATATCTGCCAGGAAATATAGACGTTTCCGATTCATACCACTTTTTCCTATGTTGAAAATAGGATTTTCTTTAGTGTTATTACTGGGAAAACAAAGTTTCTTGAATCCAGAGTCAAGACTCCTAAAAAACTTGACAATATGAATTTTTGATGGATAAAATCTACAAAAACAAGAAAAATATATGCAGGAAATATAGACGTTTCCGCATTATACCACTTTTTTCTATCTTGAGAAAATGATTTTATTTAGTGTATTATCACTGGTAAAATAAAGTTTCTTGAATCCAGAGTCAGACTCCTAAAAAACTTGACAATATGAATTTTTGATGGATAAAATCTACAAAAACAGGAAAAATATCTTGCAGGAAATATAGACGTTTCCGCACCATACCACTTTTTTCTATGTTGAAATTAGGATTTTCTTTAGTGTTATCACTGGGAAAATAAAGTTTCTTGGGTCCAGAGTCAAGACTCTTAAAGAATTTGCCAAGAAAAATGCTCTTGATTCAACAGGATTTTTTATTGAATGGAGAGCCAAGCCTCTGGATTCAGGCGAATTTCTTTTTTTTTTATTGCTGTTTCAAACAAAAGTTTTTTTTTTTTTCTTTTTTTTTCTAAACAAACTTATCGATAGATATTCGGTCCCAGTCTAGGTTTACGTGATATAAGTCCTGACATAAGTACGCGTGCACACCGAACAGGTTCCCATGATATAACTTCACCTCATTCTCACTTTTATCAATCAGTATTCATGAGTGAAAACCGTGGTTGGTATGTGCATATTCGAAAACATAACCGTGGGAAATACCATCTTGCGCGCTTGGTGGAAGCATTCGCCATCACGTCATTATTAAGTTACATCGTTATCGATTTTACACCCGCATATTTCGGTGGGTTATCGTTTCTGCACAAAATTTCCGATTTTGCCATTTCCACACAAAAACCTGGATTGACATTTCCGCACAAAATCAGTCTGCAGAACCCTGTTTTTGGCACGATTTGGCAACATCGCACAGATATTTGAACCGTACTTCTCTAGATCCACATACAAAAATTTTACATGAATTAGAGGGAAACATTTTACTAACCTATTGTTAATCGGGGTTCGCTTCACTATACCACATAGCAACGTAAGTAACAAAGTGGAGAAATGGTGCTGGGTCCACACCATTTCGCGGAGAAAACAAAGCCAAGAAATTCCAAAAATTATAGTAGGATCAAAATTTAATTTTTAACTATAATTCTAGTGAATTTCTAGTGTAATTTTAGTACAATTTCCCTAATTCTAATTCTTTCTCTAGTGTTTTTTTTTCTCTCATTAGCAACGTAAGTTTTTCCATCTTTTTACGGCAAGAAAAAAGTTACCAGATGGGTATGGGAAATATTTTGTGCGGAAATATCAAAATCCCAGATTTTGTGCAAAAAATGCATTCCGCCCAAAGTCCGTATCGAAAATCCCACCGAAAAATCCCTCATCGGTCCCTTGAGCGCCGTGCTGCGCGGTGGCACCTCGAGGCCCATCACAGAAAGACGAGTCACCGATTTCCGGACCTTGAAAGAAATTTTACGATACTCCGCTCCGATTCTCCGGCGAGTATCGTAAACCCCTCTAACCCCCCCCCCCCCCNTATGACCCAGGTGTCTCCTGAATTAACGGCGGTGGGGGGGGGAGGGGCTGCTGACACCCACGATCCTGAATGAAGAAGCGGCTGAATGGACCGGATACACCGCGGATGACTTTCCGAAGAAAGGGGGTAAGTGCGGGTGGGGGCGGGAAGGGGAGGGGGGTTGAGGGCGGCCGAAAAAAGTGTGGAAAATGGGGGTTTTGTGTTTGTTTACGATAATTTATCGGTCACTGTCAAACCGTCCGGGGATTCGACTCGCCCAAGGTCGCCGCGTAGAATGACCCGACGACGACTCGACAGCCACCTTTTTTTTTTTTTTTTATTTTCCCCCGTTTTTTCACGCTCTCCGATTTTTTTATAAACGGATAGGAGAGAGGAATTAGTCCGGTGGAAAAAAAGCGAGGATTATCCCCGGGATTCGAATCGGAGCCGTTCAGTGGCGTGGCGTGAATTGCGATGTATCGATTGTTATGCCGTTTCAACCTATGGTAAAGAATCGATTATTGAGGTGTTCGCTGCGAACACCCTGTTTATCGATCCTTTTCCATAGGTTTGAGTGGCATAACAATCGATATATCGCAGCTCACGCCACGTCACTGGGGCCGTTGCTCGAGTACTGTGACGCTCCTTGGATTTTTTTTTTCTCTTTTTTTTCGGGGCTCTCCAGTGAAGCGAAAACTTGATCTCCAGTCGGAATCGAACTTGGGGAATTATCTTGCAAGTTTTCGGTACTGATTCCTCCGTGCCGTCGAGAGATCAAAGAGCCGGTTTTGAGACATGAGTGTACACCCCCTTTGAGAAGTTCCGCTCTTCCGACATCAGGAACAATCGGAAGATATCAAGAAAAGTAGATAGTTGCAAGAGAAATTACTCGTTATAGAGTGAATCATATATTATAGATGTAAATTAATTTTTAATTTTTTAGTTAATTTTTTAATCGCAAAGTTAAAATTCCAAGCTTAGAGAGCACCAATATATTCTTTTGCAAAGAAATCTCTTATAACTTTCAATTTAAACTTAAACTTTTCAAAATTTTGACAATTGTTAAATGTATTGCTGAGTTTTTATACTGGGAATTTTAAAATTTTTAAGTCTAAAATTCCACTTGTTTATTTGTACTTGTATTTTTTATTTTCCAACCGAAAGGAGAGTATTAGAGGAGATTTGGAAACACTGAATCCTAGAAATGCTCTCGCTACACTCGGCGAACAATTTTCAAAGTGCCGGAGTCCAATCTTCTCTGCCAAGCAAGCAAGCGGTTGGTGGCATTCAACATTTTCTTCAGCCCGGAACGCAAATCATCATAGTTATGCCAGAAATTTACGCAAATTTAGCATTATAAGCATTATAGCATTATAGAGCGTTTGAAAATCTCAAGGAGTCTGTATGTAAAGTCATGAGTCATAGAATGAAAACGTTTGCCAAGTTTCTCTCCAACTTGCGTCATAAAATCACTGCAAGAAGATAGATCAACATCGGGAGCCTTGCCCATGCTTCACTTTTGATTTCATGTGTTAGTAACAAAAAATTCTTATATCTCCTTTTCGTATCTACGTCTTGATCTCACTTTTCTTACGAAAATTTTAAATCTGAAAAAATATTGATTTTTCAAAGACTGTTCCTGAAAAATATCGATTGAATGAGGCCTTGGTTATGCTGAGGTTTGCAAACTGTTTGTTCTGCGAATGAACGGAACTACATTTCAACTTTGCAAAATTTTGAATGTCAATTTGTATTTTCGCCAGGAAAATTCGAAGCAGTTTTAACTGAATACATTACCTACCTAGTCTACCTTCGCTTCTGAAGACGAGTAAAAATTGGACTACATTTTGCAATTTGGAACTATAAATTCTAGCCCGGTTTAAAAACAACGTATGTGCCATTAATTACCCTATGCACATAAGTATTTTTCCAGAAGAGCCAGAATATATAGTTCCAAATTGCAACATGCAGTCCAATTAACAGTAGTTTCGAAGAAAATTGGACTGTCATACCGATGTGAAAATTTGTAAAAATGTTTTGTGACAATTTTGATCCTTGGAATGGAGGAACATCTTCCTATTCTAGAAACGGCTTTGGCAATCTCAGTATTGCTCTGTGAGATACCGGTATTTAAGTATCTCTTCGGTGTTTGAAATTTATAATCTCACTGATCAACGAGTTTATCCCGCGAAAAATCATCAGAAATCCGGCAAGTATGCATTCTCCTGCGCGCATTTTCCATCCACTCAAACTGAAACTCAATAATGCACGGCAAACATGTTTTACCCGTGTTTACGCCCACGCTCTCTGCACGGCTATGCGTAACCAGACGCATCATGCATTCAAGACATGGTTGCCACATCACAAATTGTCGCGAATTTTATTCTCAGTTAGTCATTCACCCTGCAGCATTAATTGGAGATATTTTATCAGATCTAGCAACCGAGATTTCTAGGTCCACCTCCAAGTCCTCGCGAACCTTGGAAGTTGGACGCTGAGTCAACGCCGAGCCGGCCACGGGATCTAAGTATTCCTGCAGCTCACTATTACCCTACCTTCTACTTTTCTAGATTTTAGAGGTGGGAAACTGGCATGGAGGAAAAAAAGGAGGTGGTTGCATCTTGAGGATCGTTTGCCCCTTGACGTAGGTCGGTACAACATGGCGTCAATATTCCGGCAAAATCCGAAGTATGAAAAACGGACTATAACATCCGTTTTTTTTGCTTGAATCAACTCAAAATATAATTTCGAACTCTTCATTTCGAATGAATTTTCCGTAAGCGACACCATTTCCAAGGAAATCAATGATGGAAACCGTCCGCATCGACCTACGTCATTGACGAAATCCAAGATCCCCGAAATGTGACCATCTCTTTCGTGCTCTTTGGGACATTGGAATTTCAAAGTCGCCTCAAATAAATGTTCAAATCGTTTAAAAAACTAGCCATGCGAGTTGTGAAGGACCGCGGTACATACAAGCCGTAGTTGTAGGTCTATACATGTTTGCGCATTAAAAAAAAAATCAAACCTCAAATTGAAAAAAGAAAAAATTGAGGAACAACTGAGTCGAGACGTAATCGGGCATTTTAAATTTTTCTCTCGAGTCTGAGCGACACCTCACTGGTAGCATAGAAACGATCATTGCGAGTTCACGTATAGCGCCATCGCGCCTTCAATTTTACAGATGCAACACGGACATCTATCGTGTACGAATAGTTGTATCTCTGCGCCGTCATCAATGCGTTTTAACTTTGCTCTATTTCCATACAGTGTTTATGTTTCAGTTTGTCTTATTTGTATTTTTAGCGGTGCTTTAGAGACTGTATGAGCAACACAGCCGTAAATAGGAGAGCCGTAATAATCGAGCCTCGTTCCTTAATTTTTCTTACGACACCTCATTGGCAGCATAAAGCGAAGCTGCGGAACATGCGAATTCACACCTCGCGCCATCGCGCCTTCAATTTGGCAGACGCAACACGGACATCCATCAAGTACGTATAGTTGTATCTCTGCGCCGTCATCAACGCCGGTTCCTATCCTTGATCTACTTCCATTACGCGTTTGTTCCCATTTGTTTTATTTGTAGGGAAGCTTCAAAGGCTACGTGAGCAACACAGACGAAGCAGGACGAGACAGGAGAGACGTAATCTGACCTTGTTTTATAATATTTCTCCCGAACAGGTGTGAAATCTCACTGGCAACATAGAGCAGAGCGTTGGGAGTTCATGCCTCACGCAATCGCGCCTTCAATTTCGCACACGCAACACGGACATCCATCAAGCACGAATAGTTGTTTCTCTGCGCCTTCTTTCCATTTGCTCTATTTTCATATTGCGTTAGTTTCGTTAGTCTCATTTGTAATGGTGCCTCAAGGGCTACATGATCAACACAGCCGAAAATAGGATGTGCACTAATCAATTATTATCAATTTGAAAAGAAAAAAAATGTTAGAGGTCTCTCAAACGATCAAAAGAGCGCACGTCTAAAAGTTGACTGTACTACCTCTTCTGCGAGAGTGGCTTATGGTGGTTGAGGAAGGGGGATGTTTCAGAATCTCCCCCGCTAATTTATATTTTAGAGAGGAAACTATCGGTCGAATTTTCTGAGATTTCTAGTTTTCAGCATTCTAAAATCATAAAGAAAATTCAGTCAAAATTTTAACGCATTCCATGCATTTCGACGGTACGAATCCGCAACCACGAATCTCTTTTTCGGTGTTTGAAAATCTCTGCACCCAGCACCCATATTATTTTTTAAAGGAGAACGCATTGACATCATTCTTTGAAGTTTTTGCGGAATTTTCCTCGCACATTGAAAAAAAAATCACGGCAATTTTTAAAAAAGGTCGGTTGAGTAGTTTCCCGTTTAAAAAATAAAGTAGGACAAGAAGTCTGCGACGTCGCAAATCGAGATACGTGGTTGCGTACCTAAATCGTCGATTTACTTCAATTATAGGGGATGAAATATTAACGGAGACCTTGAGACGCTGGAACCAGAAACACCCTCTCTGCACGCAGCGATTCAATGGAGATGTTGCATGTGTGAGGAATTTGCGATTTGACTGTTGATTCTTACGTAAAAGTGCGCGATTAACACGATGATGCCACTGGTTTTCTCTGAAATCAGCTCCCAAGCTCAAAAAAAGCTCTAAAGTTGAGGCCAAAATGGAGGGGATATCCCACCCTACCCTGAGAGTCCACCTCTACATCAAGACAAACTCTTTATGCAAAGATAGGGAGCAAATACATTAGCAGGGTTGCCGTGTTTTCAGTTTTGGAGTCCCCAAATAAAGTGGCAGCCCTGTCAATGTATTTGCTCCCTATCTTTGCATGGAGAGTTTGTTTTGATGTAGATGTGGACGTAGGATGGAATATTCCCTCCATTTTTGCCTCAACTTGAGAGGTGTTTTCGAGCTTAGGAGATGATTTTAGAGAAAACCAGAAGCACCATCGTGTTTCTCGCGAATTTTTACATAAGAATCAATAGTCAAATCGCAAATTCCTCACACATGCAACATCTCCATTATAATGATAAATATTTCTAGACGATTTTATTTCATAGGTTGGCTGCCATTTTGGACCCTAAAAGCTCCATGACCTAACCTCAAAATTATCTACATGTCTATACTCTTCTCATGTACGTACTCTAGCTCCAACGTATGCGGCAACTGCGGAGCGTTGCAGGTTGCGGAACCTCGGCCGGCGCCAGCAGTAGCTGGAGGTTGTCAGCAGCACTCAGCACATCTGCGAGTGTGCGGGAATCGAATGCCGCTCGTTTATTTAGACGTATCTTCGTCGATATTTATGGCCGCCCATTGAGGAATCAGCAACGGGTAAATGCCGACGCCACACAGTGGGTCGAGTCAATTCCAGAGGTCGGACATGAAATTGTTGACTAAAACTGCAAATTTTGATGTTTGTTTCATCACATTTTAAATTGAATCAGTGAGTTCGAAAACACACCAACTCGGAAAAAAAATTGTTCAGGAAATACCTAAAACTGCGCAGCGGGCGAAGAAGTTAGTTCGAGAAAAACCTTTTTGGTGCCAAGGAACAAGTACTTAGAGACTTTGTAAAGCACCAAGTTGAAATCGATACACCATGTTTGATGACAGAGAAGTAAGCGTTTAAAAATTTCCGAGTTGGTGTGTTTTTGTTTTCACCGACTTTTAGATACTGATTTTTCATAGTCTGCCCTGAAATTTTTAAATTTTTCGACCTGATTAACGCTTGAATATTTATATAACTTGTTGGTACAAGGTATACTGAACCGAAAAAAGAAAACCGCAAAATCTGATGGTCACCTGTCTCCCTTGAAATGGCCAAAAATTGGTATTTCCAATGAAATACTTCGATTCTTCCCTTTTCCCGTCACTGTTTCGAGCACTTCCGATTGCAATTTCCTTTTGCGTGTAGATGCTTCTATCCATAAGTGTTACTAAACCGTAAAAAAGTGAAAATCGAAAAAAATCCGAGTTGGTGTGTTTTCGAACTCACTAATTCAATTTTAAGGGGTGTCTTTGGATGAAAATTTCCCGAGGAAACCAATGGAACCACTTTTGGAACCTCTAAGTATTGTATAGCTAATGTTATAAGCGTTTAAAGTTTCCGAATTTTGACCGACCTCTCCTGTTGACTGGATCCACTGTGCGCTACCGCTCATACCGTATGACACTTGACCTCGACCCCTAGGCAGGTGCCGTCGCGGGAACGGCTTCGATCGGCCGGCCAATTTTCCTCTGGCGATGGGATTTTTCACTCGCGAGATTATGACCACAGAATATGAATGACCATTCAGAAAAGGGTGCATACACTGGAAAAAAAAGACATTGGATCTAGAGTTCAGACTCTTAAAAACATTGACAAGAAATAATACTCTTGATTCAATCAGATTTAAGTTTAAATCAAGAACCAAGCCTCTTAATTTGAGCGGATTTCCTTTCGATTTAAGCTTAAATCTGTTTGAATCAAGAGTATTTTTTCTTGTCAATGTTTTCAAGAGTCTGGACTTTAGATGCAATGTGTTTTTTTTTTTTCCAGTGTGCGCACGAACGATAGGTTTCTTAATAAAACTAATTTCAATAATCTCAGGGAAGCAAAAGTATCGCAGAATACTGTCTCTTCTCTGAAAAACAGTATGTCGATCATAGTTGAGCCTTAATATCTTGTTTAAAAACTCCAGAGAGGCAACCAACGTTTTAGTTGTTTTGTCTACATCTGCGTTAAAGTCTCCAAAGAATAATGAATTTTCGCAAGGCTGTGATGTTAAATTCCGAAATTCGATGCGACTTACAAAAATAGCATGAATGCATTATTAAAACTTGTGGGTGTCTTGCATCTATGCTCCTTTTCGTGTTGAGTTGTTTTTTCTACATCTGCGTTAAAGTCTCCAAAGAATAATGAATTTCCGTAAGGCGGTAATGTTAAATTCGATGCGACTCACAAAAATAGCATGAATGCAATATTAAAACTTGTGGATGTCTTGCATCTAGGCTCCTTTTCGTGTCGTATTTAGAAAATGTTAGGTTTAGAAAAGGAATTCAATGAAACTAGAGTATTTAGGTAAACCCCGATTAATATCTTCTTACTCGCGGTAACTTTCGTGTCGAAATACTAGATGAGGTACAAATTTAAGCATGGTGCTGATGTTTTCTTATCAAAATTTTACGTAGAATATGATCAGTACGACGAAAATTACTGAAATTAACTTCTCATCAAGATATTAACATTCGCAATGCATATAAATTCAAACTTCCTTCTAAATGAAAAAACCATAATAAATGAATTGCACACTAAACGTTACAGTAACAGCATCTGATATGACAGCATAAAAATATGACAACCTCAATTTCGGCACTTCGGCCCAGTTATTGCACTTTTGTTTATATTTTGGAGGACACAGGGTGTTGAAGGAACATCATTATTCATTGAGAAAAAACAAAATGATCACAAATCGTTATCACGAAATTTATCGCTAAATGGTGATCTAGGTAGATTTATTTTTGCAACTTTATTTTTAATTTTTGTTTTTAGTCGTGGAAGGGGTAAAAGCCACCCCCAAACGTCCCAGACTTTATTTTTTGTTGCTTTTTAGCCTTTATTACCCATTTTTCTTGTCTTAGCCTGTTCTTAGCCCGCCATGACCATTGTAGTGAGCGATTTGATTCAGGTTGTAGCGCAGACATTTTCTTATATAAAATTAAATTATTTGACTTTTACTTTTGCGGAACTTTAGAATGAGGCAAGTTTTCTGTTCTTAGCCTGCCATGACCATTGTGGTGAGCGATTTGATTCAGGTTGTAGCGCAGACATTTTCTTATATAAAATTAAATTATTTGACTTTTACTTTTGCGGAACTTTAGAATGAGGCAAGTTTTCTGTTCTTAGCCTGCCATGACCATTGTAGTGAGCGATTTGATTCAGGTTGTAGCTCAGACATTTTCTTATATGAGATTAAATTATTTGGCCTTTACTTTTGCGGAACTTTAGAATGGGGCAAATTTTCTGCTTACATGGAAAGACGATTCACGGTCTAGAATCCGTCCTCTCATTTAAGAATTTTCATCAGTCGATGAATTTAATCTCAACCTCCTCAAGACTTATCGGTTTCGAGAAAAATTTTAAATTTTTACCTCAAAACCCTACCGATCCCAGTCTAGCCCCCCAATAACCCGCGTATTACATCTTCCTCCTTGTTTTTTTCATTTAAGTTGATGCAACGGTAAGATAAAAATCTAATTTCATCGTCCGGCCGAGACCAAAAATTACATGCTGCTACCAAATAAGTGAGGTTACTCCAAATAGGCCAGTGGACTCCGGCTCTCCTCTGGGTATACCCCAACAAAAATTGGATTCATCTTGTAGTTTGAGGTAACTTGTGGTCTCCGCTACCGCGAGTGAGGGAAGCCACCGGTGAAGGGTACCGAAGAAGTTCAATTAGAGTTTTGTCTGCTCTGTACGGAAGCCGTGACGCCGCAAAGGCGTAAACCGAA